GCGGGGGGTGGCTCCGGGAAGGCGCGCGGCTCGTAGAGGGGGGACCCCAGCCCGAAAGGGGGGTGCCTGGCGCTGGGCCCGGCCTTCTGCTTCAGCCGTCCAGCGCTTAACTCCTCAACGTCTCTCTCCTTCAGAGCCGTTCCTAGGTGGCAGTTAGCAGACCCAGACCACAATTAGCAGATACATCTCCCGGAGGGGAACGCGGCCCCTCCAGCCGGCACAGAGAGCTGAGTGTTGGGGGCGGGGGGGTGTGTGTGCAGCTCTCAGCCCAGACTGCCTCTGTGCCCGGTTCCGGCTCTGCCTCCTCCTCCCGCGGTGAGCCCAGGCTCCATTTTGGATCTCAAGGAGAGGAGTGACTCAAAGAGCAAAGTCAGTGAGCTTTTCCAAGTGTCTCCCTCGGATTTTTCCCGTTCCTGCCTCTGGCACCGATAACTCGGGCAGCCTCGATGGCTGAGCTGTGGGTGTTACGGATGGGCTAGTCAGCCTGCAAGTATGTAAGGAAATAATGTGTATTCTGGAGATCAGGACACATAAAAGGTAAAAATAAGCAATAAATTTTGCATAAAGAAAAAAAAAGGCTCTCCATGCAAAAGCAGACATCTTGGACTTTCTCAGGGGGAAGTGTGGGGCAGGCTGGGCCCAGGCTGTGTCCCTGTGTGATTCTGGGAGAATGATGCAGGGAATTGGCCTGTGTGGCCACTTGAAACTTTTTGAATCAAATTCTGCTGTTACAAAAAGACAAAATAGTTTTTTTCTGCGCTGATAAGCCCCCAAATCACAAACTCCACCCCCTCTCTCCTTCCTCCCCCCATGTTTATGAATTTAATGAGTGGGGGTTAATTGTGCTGAAGGTTTCTGGCTGGAGCGTTTGTGTTGGAAATGGCCTGGCTGCTCCTGAATGGAAAAGGGGATGAGCCAAATCTTGGGATTTGGGTGGGGAGGAAGGGGACAGATCCGCCTCTCACCCTCGGACTGTCCCAGTATGATGTGGGGAACAGTGGGGGGCAGAAACCCCTTTGGCAGAGCCCCAGGGGGGCAGTGAAGGAGGCTGGTGATGTTGATGCCACATCCCGGGGTAGGGAGCTCCCTGGTGTCACCCGTGGCATGGGACTGGGTGCCACCGGCCCCCCTGGCACTCCTTGACGGGCACCGCGCCGGGGAGGCAGCACCAGGCCGTGCTGGGAGGTGCGGGCAGGGCCGGAAGCCAGCGAGAGGCCTGGGCTTGCCCCGGTGTGCACTCGTGGTGCCAGCAATGGCTGACACGGTGCCAGGGAGCAGGAAGGGCCCTGGCGCAGCCCCTCGCCTCCTCCGGAGGGTTTTGTGCCTGTCCCCTCCCTGTCTGGGAGATGTTGGGATCTTCATGGGGAGAGGACGGAGGCAGCGCCACTCTCTGGGGGATGCTCCGCAGACATGGTCATTGCTCCTCACTCCCCCGCAGCACACCCTGAGCTCATGTGGTTCAGGTGCCAGCTCACCCCTATGAGCCACAGACCTCCCTTTTTTTGCTGTTTTCTGTGCTGGGAGTGAGGTTTTGGTAGCTATGACAGCAACTCAAGGACACAACCGTCCCTGATTAGTGCAGATGGGGTTTGACTCCCGGCACATCCCATTTCCCAGGTTTTTGTGCCTTCAGAGGGCCAGAGCCCAACAACAGCCCCTTCGGTCACAGGTGTCTGTGCCGTGGCACCCACTGCCTGCTCCTGCCTGTCCCTTGCCTGCTGTTCCCCAAAGCAGAGCACAAGGCATGGACACAGAGGAGTGTGCAGGAGCCAGGGAACGGCCTGGCGTGCTGATAACACACCCCTCCTGTGGTGCTGAACTTATCTGTCAGCCCATAGCCGTCCCGGCACAGCTGAGCCACACACACGTGTGTGTGCCAAGTCAGGCAGCGCCCAGCTCCGGCCCCTCAGTCACTCTCTGCGCAGTGTATTTCAGGAGTGTAGATCAGGAATGACGGCGAAGCTCTCTGAGGTTGCCACGTGTGATTATTTTTTGGCCCACGGGGTTGCTGTGAGGATCTGGAGGCAATCCCTCTTCCCCGGGTGCTCTGTGTGCCATGAAAGTGCCGCCAGTCCCACCCCCGAGCTGCTTCGCTTTCCCCGGGGCTGGAGGAACAGGTTCATGGTCCCGGTGGTGCTGGGGGTTCAAGGCTGCAGATTGGAGCTGGACGATTTGGCAGCCAACCCCATGCAGGGGCAGGCTGATTCCTGAGCTGCTGGTGCTGGCAGGTTTTGTGTTTTATAGTTTGGGATTTTTTTTTCTATGTATTTGGGTATTTTCCATCCACGTTTTACCTGCCTCCACACCCTGCGGTGTCCGGCTGAGCATGACCAGCCAGGTCTGGGTGCAGCCATCACCCTGTCTGACACCCGTGGGTCATCCCGCCCGTTGTGGCATCCAAAAGCCTGGGTGCTGTGACCCTTTCCACACCTCTCAGGAATATTTTGGGGACATCACATGTTTGTACAACCTTTTTTCTTGCAGAACTGGCCTCCCACAGGACAGTAGACCTGGCTGGGTTTCCCCCTAGCCTCCGGGTGGGCTTTGCAGGGGGGAGAAGTGCTGTGGGCTGAATTTAAACCAGTGACTTGGAGGGGTGTCTTCTTCCTGAGCAGTTTTGGGTCTGGATTTGCAGTCGGAGAAGGGGTTATCACACCGTCGCCGTGGGGTAGTGCTGCCTTTGGTGAAGCAGGGTGGATGCTGGGCTGGATGGGGCTGGGAGCTGCTTGTTGGGACTGGCCCGAGCTTGAGCAAAGCCTGTAGCGGTCGGGGCAGGGGTGGAGCGAAGGGAGCCCGGCACTGGCGACGGAGGGGTCTGCAAACAGCCCTCACAGCCCCAAACCCGGCGTCCCGGTGTGCCCCTCCTGGCACGGGCAGACGGGAGCCGTGGGCAGCACCGACCCACAGCCCTGCCCGGGGACAGGCTGCCCGTCCGGCCTCCACGCTGATGTTGGGAGCCCTTGGGTGCCCTCACATCCCCCAGCGCTGTCCCCAGGGCACCCGAAAGCCCAGCCTGTCACCCCCCTGCCGCTTCGCACCTTTGTTTTGCTCCGTTTCTCTCTTCAGACCAAAGCTGATGTGAAACATCTCCCAGCACCAGCACGGTCTTCCCACAGCCTGACTGACCAGTGCCCAGCGCTCAGCTCCCAGCGCTCAGCACCCCAGCACCCAGCTCCCAATGCCCAGCACACAGCACCCCGGCTCCCAGCACCCTGTGCCCCACACCCAGCTCCTAGCATCCACATCTCAGCTCCACATCTCCCAGCATCCAGCGTCCATTGCACAGCATCCCAGTGCTCCCAGCACCCCGCACCCATCTCCCAGTACCCCACACCCATCTCCCAGTGCTCCCAACACCCCGCACCCATCTCCCAGTGTTCACAACATACTGCACCCATCTTCCAGTGCTCCCAGCACCCCACACCCATCTCCCAGTCCCTTGCACCCCCATCTCCCAGTGCTCCCAGCACCCCACACCCATCCCCCAGTGCTCCCAGTACACTGCACCCATTTCCCAGTGCTCTCAGTGCTCCGTGCACCCACCCCCCCATCGATCCCAACACCCCGCACCCATCTATCTCCCAGTGCTCCCAGCACCCCGCACCC